ACATTATAAATCAGTGCCGACAATCAATTTGATTATAACCACATTGAAGTTGATCAAATTTCCACCAGACACGGAAACGTTTATAGAAAAAAAAATAATACGAAACGTTTCATCATCTAAATCCATGCAAAATACTCGTATAAAATATTAACTAGTACCGTATATATATGTACCAATTAGGACCAGACAAGTTGACAAGCACTACAGTTTAATGCCCATCAAATTGCTAAGACATTATGGAATCTTATAATATAAAATTCATAAATAATTATATTTTTTTTTTGAGAGAACATAAATAATTATATGTATCATATATGGTTGGTATTATAACAAAAAAAACGTTTTTTTTCTACATTAAAAATTTTACTTTAAGGAAACCTCTAGCTAATTGTCTAATTGGGTCATTGCAAATCTTATTCATTAACTCTATAATTTATAATTTAATTATTAGAGTACAAATGAAGACTAGGTTACCTGCAAATGGACACAAACACAATTAATTTAATTTAAATGATCAAACTATGTTAAAAATTGTTAATTATGGCTGTTTAGTTAAGAGAAAAGGCAAATTGAATTCCCACTTTCTATTGGTTCAATGCCTAAAATAAACCAGCTCGAATCCAATTTGCATGAGATAATATTCCCTTTATTTTTTATTTTTAAATTAATAAAGGAGTACTTTGAGATATAACAAATAAAAAACATAAACTTTAACTGTATAAAATTATACTAGTGTTTGTTCCGACATTCGTCTAATACGAGTATTATATATTGTCATGAAAGAAAACCTAATTTGTTCGGAATCACTTATATATCCATACTTGGTCAAATCAGTTAGTATATTAAGGATGATAAGTTTTTTTTTTTTTAAATACGAAGTACTCCATATATAATATAAACTTATGAAATAATTGTATTTTTATACCTTGTCATCAAACAATTATATGCCTTGATAGCGGGCTCTATCGGGGTGGAACCTCTTACATATCCTTTTAGCCCGGGATAGCGGGCTAGACATTTTGAGAGTGGGGGACTTGGGGGGGGGGGAGGAAGGGTAAGGGAATCCCACCCCTAAGTGCCTCTAGTAGGGTTTGTATCTCATAACCTAAGCTTTATTGATAAGAAAATGGATTAATTACTTTTCTAAAATCTTAATATAGAGGATTAATTTGTTTATTTATTCAAGACTTCAGGATGTGTCATTATTTGTTTACTTGTTGAACCGTCAAATAAAAAAAAAAAAAAGAGAAAAAAAAAACTTTTGTATTACCTTCGTTATATATTGATTGCAACTTTAGCATATTATTTATGAGACATAAAATATTACATAGTTGCGACTAATATGTAACGATAGTAATTGAATTTTGTACTTATTAAGAATTGTGGAAGATCTCCAGAAAATCTAGCTTAAGAATAGATTTACGGAGTATAGTTTAGAGAAATTATAGTTTAGAGGAAGGGTAAGGGAATCCCACCCTAAGTGCCTCTAGTAGGGTTTGTATCTCATAACCTAAGCTTTATCGATAAGAAAATGGATTAATTACTTTTCTAAAATCTTAATATAGAGGATTAATTTGTTTATTTATTTAAGACTTCAGGATGTGTCATTATTTGTTTATTTGTTGAACCATTGTCAAATAAAAAAAAAAAGAGAAAAAAAACTTTTGTATTACCTTCGTTATATATTGATTGCAACTTTAGCATATTATTTATGAGATATAAAATATTACATAGTTGCGACTAATATATAACGATAGTAATTGAATTTTGTACTTATTAAGAATTGTGGAAGATCTCCAGAAAATCTAGCTTAAGAATAGATTTACGGAGTATAGTTTAGAGAAATTTATATCCAGCAATTGAAAAGCGTTTCTTTGAAGATTAAATAAAAACGTTTTCACTTTAATGACACTTGTCCGACAATTGACGGGTGAGATGACCCCACATATTATATGCCTTGATCAAAAAACACAAAACCTAAATTGTCAAATGAACAAACCAATGCGTGGCAAAAGTTTAGCAAATCACTTTGGGGGGATGAAACGTTTCGCTAATCTCTAGTTGGCTATCACAGCGTTGTAGGCATGCAGTGATGAGTGAAGGTCACGATAACTTTATCAAAAGAATCTTGCGAAATACCGATCGATATATGAGACGACCTTGTTCACCAAAAACCAACACGTGAATTACGACTAATTGTCTCGTTTTAAAGAAAAGGAAAAACGATGGTGAACTAACTAGTGTAATGGGGTTAGTTGGTCAGTATTAAAGGAGTTACTTCGTCCTTGTTATAGAATTACTCACTTAGTGTTATATGGGTTACTTTGCTAGTGTTATGGGGTTACTTGGGTCAGTATTAAAAGGGTTACTTCGTCCTTGTTATAGAGTTATTCAGTCAGTGTTATAGGGGTTACCTTGCTAGTGTAATGGGGGTTAGTTAGCTTGGTCAGTATTAAAGACGTTAGTTCATCAGTGTTATAGACGTTACTCAGTCAGTGTTATAGGCGTTACTCGGTCGGTATTATAAGAGTTACTTAATCAATGTTATAAGGTTACTTTAAGTGGCCACACGGTGTGGTCGGCTGCACACAAGACGGGTTGTAGACAAATATAACAAAATCTCACTTGATTATATTTTGCCTTTTGTGTAATTGTATCAATCTTTAAAGATTTTCAAACATAAATGTGAACAATGTAAATGTCAAATCGTTACATATGTATAAAACAAAGAAAATACTAAGTTAGGTTAAAATGTTAAATATACACCATTAATTAAAGTATTATAAACAACTAGGACAAAACTATCAATAACTACATTGAGTAAGAAGTAAGAACCCATGACTAATTTTGTGGCATCCTATGAGCTACAAATAACTATAATAAGAATAAAAATAAAATTACATGTACTATAGTATTTAATGTTACCCAAATTAGATTATAAAATTAATAAACACCTTCCATTATAAACACAAGTACACAACAACTATCAGTAGATTATTTATACACACCTTCCATTATTTATACACACCTTCCATAATAACTTTAATGGAGTTTTTTTTTTTTTTTCAAATTCATATCTACAACTACATTTTATTGTATGATTTCATGTATTTCAATTTATGAGTAAATAATCTACTGATAGTTGTTGTGTACTTGTGTTTATAATGGAAGGTGTGTATATATATAGATCAAAACTGAAAAATTAAACATGCATCAAATTAATGTTTATAACTTTATATAATAGTCTCAAATTGGTTATTTATATTACTACATCTTTATATTGAAGAGATCACTGATAGATGATGATGGTCTTAGATTACAAGTTTAAAACTTATGTAGCTGAAATTAATAAATTAAATATGCAGGGATGACTCGAAAAAAGAGGGATCATCAGGAGGAAAACAAGTAGTAGAGACTGCAGGGGCATTTTGCTATTGTGGAGAAGGGTATGCATGCACCATCACAAAAACTGAAGGCCCTGATGCTGGTAAAGTGTTTTTCGAGTGTGGCAATGGCTGCGCATGTGAGGTTCCTGCTTCCGGATCTGAAGCTGTTATTCTCAAGGATGCCTGATTGTTGTACTGTCTAATTAGAATGTTCAATTTGAAGGAGTTTATAATTTGCACCACAATAATTTTATGTCTGTAGTTTATGTTGGTTTTAATCTAGTGTTACATGAAGCTGTATGCCTGTAATAGTAATCTGTAGCTGTCAATAGACTGTGAATCTTGTACTTGTTGGCAGAATGACTTGCTGTTGTTATATAAAACTCCTCATAGTCCTACATCGTTGCTAAAACTACTTGAAACAATTGGCTTATATGAAACTTTACAGTAAATTTTTATATGACTGCTTTCATCTGAAAGAATTTTTGAGTACCTTAGAGCTTGGGCTGTTGGGCATGTAGTGATTCGAGTGAACCCCTTCGTCGCATAATCTATGTTGATAAACACAGTAATGCTTATAATACTGTTACAGACAAATTGAATTAAGGTTAAGAGGTATGTACATAAGCTACGATTGATAAAATGACTTTCTTCAGCCTGAAATACATTAGTCTGATTTACAGTAAGGCTTCAGCGGCGTGGTATACAGCAGTACAGCTGTGCAAGGCTGAGTAGAAAAGGCCGTATACATATGAATGTGGGTTTAGTTTCTTAACTAACAAAATTCAAACAAATCAAGGCTTCATCGATCTGCAAATGTGTTGCAGAAACTACCACAAGCAAGTAAATGCTAGACATTTTGAAAGAAATTGCTCGCAGCCTTGCATAAGGACCATTTGAAATTTGATTACAAAAGAAAGATCTACCCTCCGCGAAATTCAACTTTCCTTGAATGAATAATCATTATATGTTTGAAAGTAACTCTTCTGAATTTCTGATATACTGTGTACACGTAATTCAAACAAAGATAGGAGTAAAAAGTAATACTCTTCGTCTCTTCTACATCAAGTAAGATGTTTACTTGTTTAGCACTGGATTTGCGTATATGACTCTATCTTAAACTTCATAGAAATACTTGAAATCTGTCTTTGCCTAAATCATATAATATCCTATACCACCTAATCAATGTCGGCCTTTACAATATGCTCCCAGCATGATCAAGGTTTCTTTGCAGAAATATGTCATTTTCATTCGTCCTGAGTCCTTGCTTACTGTGAGCAGACCATCAGAATGTACAATCAATATCCAAAATAGAAGAGCAGCTCAGATGGGGAATTCTAAGCAAAAAAGAGCGAAAATTCATGCTCATATACATCATGCACAAGAAACAAATTTAAAAGTAGTTATCTGAGTCAGTTTCAGATATTGACTTCCTGTCATGTTTGTTGGTTCAAATGTAAATCATTAACTAAGAAAATCCAGTTCCTTACAAAATTCATCTGAAATCAAAGAGCAAAGAGTTTCTTTAATTTATGATACATTTGAACCAGCAAAAAATCTGAATTAAAAGAGCAAAAAGTTTCATTAACATGTTTATTTTATCTGCCAGAGGAAATCATATGAGAAATGCTGTGAAATGGACTGAGGTGTATGATTATAGAATTTACAACAAGAATCATTACTAGTATACAATAAGATTTCACAAGTCAGACTATATGTCATGAGAGCTTTGCACAATTGCATTCAGGAAAATTTTTGTTGCACTGCTGCAGCATTAAAACACTACAAAAAGGCTTCACAGTACATTCAGACCATTCTGTACATCATATGATTCACAACAATCAGCAAGAAAAGTTCCTGCTGATGAGAATGAAACAAACAGCAGTGCCGTTGGGCATAAACTGGTACACCAACAAACCATCTGCATCTGTAAACAAACATACAAGAAGTTGTTAACGCTAAATTTTGAATAATCTAGAAGTAAATTAGTATTTGGTGGATACAAAAGAACAGAAACAGAAAGAGATTTTGATTACTCACAGTTACATCATTAGCGTGATTTGCTTTGGAAGTTGATGTGCTACAGTGCTACTGATGATGTAATAGGAATATAACAACTAATATAAGATACAAAGCTCAACAACATATGCCCCAATTTCCACACCCCAAGCCAGATTGACCACCCACCTTCCGATGCCTGAGGGCCTGAAGTTTCAGATTATTCCGTACAAACACATAATCCTTCGCTTGATCTGATCCAAATCCCAGCTTTTCAACAGCATCCCTACATGGCATGCTATCGCACAATTGCCAGCTTTCCTCACACATAATTGCTGCACTAGGAATCTGACTCAAAATCTTAATGGCTAATGTCTGAAGATGTGGTGTCTCGAATCCAAAGTTCTCCCACCATGTAACTGGCTCCATGTTATTTCTACAGTCTGCAGCATCCTCTTCTCCAAAAGATACTTCTGCTCTCCAGTACACACCTAGCTCTTCTCTTAGCACTCTCCTAGACTCGAACCCAGACTCATATCTCTCGAGTGTGGCATTCCAAGCCCTCATTAGACACTTGTTCTTGTTCTGGCCTTTCCCAAAATGTTTAGGATGCAACATATAAGCTGCTCCATGAAGTGGAGAAAATAACTTATCCCACCTGTTTTCTATAAGCAATTCCACCTGATTCAACAACAGCTCATCTTTTATTCCTTTACTCCTCAAGGATTCTAGTGACATAATCTGCCAATTATAAACATCCCCCATAGATTTATCGACGTCAATTGTTGCAAGAAGTCTCATGAAGGGTTCAAACACCTCTACCATTAAGTTTGCCCGACCCCAAAAATCATCCCTTGCTATGATTGCTTCAACATTGAATCTGACCTCCTGAGAATTCTGAAGTCTCCATTGCTTCCACTCTTCTCTAACAACTAAGTCATACAAAGTTGATTTTATTTCAAGAATCTTCCTAACCAGGGAAAAAGAGGGTGCAAACTTTTGTGAGACTTGGTCTCTGGATCCCTTAAGAGCATCTATATTTGTGCAAGAAGATGAACTCCGAAAAGCAGAAACACACCTCTCAATCTCACTAGCAGTTGAAACTACATCCTTCATGCAATCAAGATTAGCCATCTCCTCCATCAACAGAAGAACAGAATGTGAAGTGCAGTGAGACCAGAAGATATTAGGGAACTTGGATAATATCACTGACTCAAAAACATCACTAACTTGCACATCTAAACGAGTTATGACCTGAAACACATTCGAAGAACCTACCTCAGCAATCACATTGGTAAGCTCATTGATGAAAAGATTATCTGGTACATCTCCCTCAATGATGTCCACCTCTTTCAAGAACATAACACCTCTAGGACTCGCTACAAAAAAGTTAACACAGAAGCATCCGAGTGAACCATCCAGACGATTCACACATAGTATTGTGCACCCTGTGTTAGGCCAGGATTCTCTAGCTAATGCCAAGGCTTTCTCTAATCTGACTTTCTCTTTACTCAGCAAAGAGCCTGATAAATGTTCCATCGAAGGGAGCTCATAGCTAGGACCGAAAGCACCCACAGTTTTTACCATTTCCCTAAAGTAGGCTGAATTCACGACGTTGACATTCACTCCATCCACATAAAAGAACCTTGCCACAATATCATCCACAGGTTCAGTCTGTTGGCTAACTCCAACACTGTACTTTGTCATAGTGTTTCGACTAGAAGAAACTCCCTTCTTCTTCATAAGCTTCTTAGCTACACGATCCTTCTCAAATACACTAAATGTTTCTCTTACAGAATTATCAATTGCAGGACAAGGCTTGACACCCAACCCATTGTATCCAAGAAGATGGGCTCTAACACGCGAATAAGACCCGTTGTAACGTTGATTACAGTGGTTGCATTTCCACCTTTTAGTACCACTCCCTCTATCAAACCCTCCAAACACACTTACATGTTTCCACCCCCATTTTTCAGATTCTGCAGGCATTTTTCTGTTACTGATAACTGCCAAATTTACACAAATAAGAACACAACCCTTTTTAGAACGTAACATAGGTGCTAATTAACTAATACTAAACAATCACTTCCCCTGTCCCAATTTCATTGCCCTAATTGCATTTTACACGCTTTTTAAGAAGTATTAAAAAGTACTTCGTAATGCAATAAAAAATTAATATTCCCTCCGTCCCTCTAAATTTGCTCTCAAATGTGCGGCATGTCTCTAACTGCACTTTAATTGTAAAATAATAGAGGAAAAAAATCTCACCCATAATTTAGGACAGGACACCAAAAAAAAAATAAAAAAAATTGGGACGGACGAAAATGAAAAATGAGACAACTAAATAGGGATAGAGATAATACAATATCATGAACAGAATATAGTCTAATTCTCTAAAAACATCATATATGAATTCTTAGTGACCACTTACAATGTCATGGAAAAATGAATTATTAACAGAGTTACCACCATTTCCTTGATTAAATTCCATTGTTGAAAATATAATAAATAGAAATTGCAAATACAGTATGATTAAACCAAAATCAAAGCTGCAAGTTTAAACATGATAACATTTGTGGAGAAAGATGACATTAAGATTTTTAAAAAAAAAAAAAAAAAGTTACCTTACACAAAATCACGAATCAGTAATCACGATGAATGTTGCAGAAGACGCAGTTGAAGCAGGGGTCCGTTTCTTAAAGGGCGGCTAGAAAGAGAAACGGGTTTCGTTGTTTTTGTTGAAACTAAGAAAAAAACGGCAATTTTAAAGAATGAAATTTGGATCATCATCGATTCAAAGTATGGTATGTATATGTATGTTTGACGATTTCAGTTGGCCAGACTAGCAAAATTAAAGTACATCAATTGGACGTTTTTATTGCTAAAAAAAAATGGACGTTTATATATTACGGAAAAAGAACTTGGCGTTTCGTTTCATTACGTTTTTTAAATTAATAATAAATTAATACTGGTAGTACGTTTCTTTTGTTGGGATATTTTATTTTTTATATTTCCTCCGTTCTTTTATTATTGCACCATAAGGGTTTGACACAAATTTTTTGGTAGTGAAAAAAAGGATGAGAGAAAAAGGTAGAAATACCAAGTTGCCCATGTGATTGTATGCACAAAATAAAAGTAAGGGTTGAAAAGCAAAGGTATATTAGGTATTTATAGTGTGAACACATAAATTTCTTTTCCTAAAATGAATATGGTGCAATAAATGTGAAACTTCCTTAAAAGGTAAGTGGTGCGATATTAAAAAAAACGGAGGAAGTATCTTACTCCATACTTAGCTTTGACAGAATTTTAAAAATTAAATTTAGGGGTTTACTTTTTGTTAGGTTGACAAGGAGCCAACAATGATTTGTATATTTCACACAACTACACATACAAGTCATCCTTTTGGCAATGTTGACGTTGGTTGATAAGGGTTAATAATTTCAAATTAAAACTACAATAATTCAATTTTTTTGAGGGGAAACCATAGAAATAGCATAAATTAAACAAGCCAAACGACACTTATAAAAATCATGTAAAGACTACAAAGAACAGATCTCACATTAGAAACATATTTTTCTTCTAATCTACTAACTTATCCACTGAAGAACAGGCTGTAAACCATTGATTACGTCGTTGCATCTTTCCAAAATACAACAATCTCACAAATTCGTGCAGCATCAAAGGAGAAATAATAGTTTCGTTGCCGAAGATTTGCTATCTTCGTCTCCCTTGACCAATAGACCCTAAAACAGAAAAACTCCATAGAAGGGGAGAAACAACTCTCATAAAGAGAGACTCACAAACTCTCATAAAGAGAGAGTCACTTATTGACCAATAAACTATGAAAAAACTACATAAACTATAGACTAAAGAGGGTTTGAGGCTTACCATGAATTTTTCCATCCATGACAGTCCCAATTGATCAGGTTTTTGGGTTATTTTTTTTGGATTTTTATGGGGGTTGGCGTTAGAGAGAGAAATAAAATAATTCAATAAATTTAAATAAAATAAAATAAAATAAGTGAACTAATTAAGAAAAAATCAAAGCTTTTCTACGACATATTATTAGTCAGTTATAAGTTTATAACTATCAATTTGAATATTTTTTCTAAAAAAAAAAAATTATAAACAAGCTATCTTTTACCTCTCTATTTTTGTGTCATGTTTGGTGACTATAATTATGAATATGGCAAGATTATTATGTTTGCATTTTTGTAAAAATCAATAGTTATGGTAGAAATTTAAATTGCAAGTACAAAATTTTGAATATTTCATCATTTCTTAATGAGTTAATGTCCTTAACATTTTTTTTTCAATGGTCAAAGTTTGTAAATATATATATTACTGCTTATACTTACAATTGTGTTCATATTTCCTAATAAGATCTTGTTAGGTTTGTATCAATACATAGTTTTAAACTATTAACATTTCTTTAACTAATGAGATTTTGTTAGAATTAATTATCAGATAGATAATAATTGTCGTTTCAATTTATTCTAAAAAAACGCACGAAAAGGACCAAAAAGGAAGATACCATTTAATTAAATTAGACAAGTTCTTCGATCACAGTAGTGCGCTACCAATCTGCCATTTGTAATGTTTACATCAAATTTAGGATTCTATAAATAGGGAGGTATTGTAGCTTAGCTTATCAAATTAATCAATCTTTACATCAAAGAAGCTAACTACTTATTTAAGAAGCTGCCAAATTTATTTATATAATAATGGAAGCATCAAAGGTTTGCTGCCCACCTGGTGAAGCTGTTGGGTACGTAATGTGACCTTTTTTTTTTCTTTTGGTTATAAATACAAATTTTAAGCAATATTATTACATGAATTCTTGGACAAATTATATACTTGAGCTACATTTGTTTATATTTGTGTGTATACTTTAATTTACATATTAAATAAATTAATTATTAATTAAATTATGTATGTGTATTGATTGTTCCTACTGAACAGAAACTCATGCTGCAAATGTGCCCCGGGATGGACTTGCGTGATCAAAAAGATTGAAGAACCCGAACTTCTTACCGCTGGCGAGCATTTCACCAAATGCTCCGAAAGCTGTGTTTGCATCACGTACGTACATATTCATACTTGTACCTAATAACATTTTTACGAGAATTATTTCGTTGATTGTACATGTAACACAATAACTATTATATGCCTTACCTTAAGTATTACTTTACGTAGCTATTGTAAAATAACAATAAGCGTACACTTGAAAAGTAATTTAATTAATAAGCTTATACATTTATGAAAAATAACTAAGCATTTAATTTATTTTTAAAAAAACTGCAGTGATGAGTCTAGCAAAGTAGAGACTGAGGGAGGATTCTGTGTTTGCAAAGAAGGGTATACATGTAGCTTCGTAAAGACTGAAGGCCCTGATGCCGGGAAAGTCTTTTTCGAGTGCGGCAATGGCTGCAGGTGTGAGATTTCTGCCTCCGGCGATGAGGTTGTTGTTGTCAAAGAAGCCTAAGAAGCCTTTTATTGATGTATCATTTAGCTTTACAAAATGTGTGTGTTAAAGGAGTACAGTGTGGAGCTTATGGCGAAGTTTATATGCAATATGCTTATGCATGATTGTACATTTGTACGTATTATTATTACTACTATATGATACCTTTGGTTTTGTTTTTTACGGAGTAATAATAAGCATTATTATTGTTGAGTGTTGATTATTTGTTGTTGCCAATGTCATTAACTCTTAAAATTGATTTTTTTTTTTTTTTTTTTCTATTTTCTCAAATACATATGTTCAGACAATTAATGATTTTTTGCACGAAAAATAGACAAAATTTTACATTAGACCTCAATTAGTCAATTGTACATGTTTTGAGGTTAAAACTTGTTTCACTTTGGCATTTCTAGCGGCTTAACTTAAATTTAGATTATTATTATTATTATTAAGATAAGATTTTATATATCAATCCATTTCAATTTAACAAACCAAATAACTCATAAAGAATTTTTTTTTAAAAAAAGGTTATAAAATCTTTATATTTTTCTGTGGAATTTAAAAGTTCAAATTTAAGTTTAAATATTACGGAGTATACATGCATAAAGGAAATTTGACTACTCCATACATGCTACATACGTATCAATGAATCCTTAACTTTGTCATTGATTTTAAGGGTTAAATTAGTAGGATTTCAGGGATAAAAAAAAAATTTAAAATTAAATAAATAACTAAAAATCAGTTTTCTTATCTATCTCCACTCTCCAACAATTAAGGTCAGATAATGTTTGGTTGATATGAGAACTGAAATTGCCATGAATTTGTAATTTCTACATATTTCACTTTTTATAGTTAACTAAACAAACCTCTTAACTAAAATCTCATGAATTTTCAATTTTCTCATTTTTTAACCAGACAAGGTTGTATTTAGTCCCGCTGGACAATTAGTATAAAATTACTTATATAGTTATATCTTATATACGGAGTAGTACTTGTCATTGCGTTTCTGGTTTTCAAAAAAAAAAAAAAAAAACTTTGCGTTTCTACTACAGAAAACCAAAACGTTTCAGCAATTAGTAAATGAGGAGCACCAAGCCACCAATCACAGCAAGCACTACATCGTCAATCAATTAGCACATCAACGTCAAATCTACACATAGTCAACAACACTCTTATTCATTTACTCATTTACTTATTTACTTTTTTTTTTTTTTTCTTGAAAAGATTTACTTATTTACTTTCTACTAACTCCATTTCATATTATATGCAACAAAGGAATATTATTTGTAAGACATAAAATATTCTTTTGTTGCACATAATAAGAAACGGAAGTAGTATTTCATTTTACTTGTTCTTCTAAAACTAAGGAAGTAAGGAGTATCACTTGTCAAAAAAAAAAAAAAAAAGGAGTACAAGATAAAATATATTAGAGATACTGTAAATTGATCTTATAATATTAAAGATTAAAGAAGATTGAGAATTGTTACACCTCTAAAGACCTTTTGATCACTTCAGCTTAATTTCAGTTCGATTCAGTTTAAGCTCCAATCAGTTTAAGTTCAGCTCCTACTTTTATTCTCTCATATAATATGCATTTCACCTTTGTTCAATTCAGTTCAGTAAATGTGAACGGACTCTAACAAGAAACTATAATTAAGCTTTAAAAGAAATAGATTACCAATTCACCACCATGGAGTACTAGTTAACAATCCAATATGGAGCACAAATGCACAATTGACTTTTTGATACAATTGACCAACAAATGCACAATTGCCTCAAAAAAAAAGAAGCACAATTGACTTTTTGATACGCATGAATACATTTACTAGTCTTGTATAAATGAAAAGACATAGTATTGTACGAAATACTTTTTTGTTCCAAATTAAGCCCATGTCTTCATTTTATTTTAGTTTTCAAGATCAACATTTCATCAGTATTTAACCCCAAAAAAAAAAAAAAAAAAAAAAAAAGCCTACTTTCAATAAACTTGCAATTATTTAACTTTTATATTAATTATGATTTTTTGTTTACCAATGTATGCAAAGTATTTTTTTTTTTTTTTTTTTTTTTTTTTTTTTTTTTGTTGTTGTTGACAATGAGAACTTAATAAATAAAGGCAAATTACAACCTAAGAGATCTAAAACAAGAAATTAAAAACAACAAAACCCACTTAACTAAACCAGTAGAGGGAAAGAGAAATGAATTAATACACCCATGTGCATCATACCAAACATCTCGGAGCCCGGATAACCAAAAGGTTCTTACCAAAACCTTTTGTTGGACCAAAAGTTGCCAAACAAACCAAAACCTTGGTAAAGGACAGATAATGCAAGCGAACACTAAAGAAGGGAACCGAAACTTAGCATAATCCCTATGAAAAATCCCGGCGGAAGAAGTGTAGAGACAATACACCCGAAAGTCAAAAGCCCCCTGTTGCTGAAAAAAGGACCCATCACCCGACTCCACTCCTAGGGATTCGCCTCCTAAGAGTCCGGGAGCCAAACCATGAGAGTCGAATTTTTTCACGACTCTACCAAGAGAAACCTTACACCAAAATGTAGGTTTCTTTCCTGCAATTCTACCTATATAGAATGCAAGAAGATGGAGGACTTTGCTTACCCCAAACATTAAAGATGGGGAGCCTCCTTCAAGATTGAAATTTTTAATGATGACTGTCTTTGTCATCATCAACACCAACACCGACACTGGAATGATAGTCGTTGAATGAAGACCTATATCATCCCGCAACCAATAAGCAACAGGGCCGACGTACAACCCTCTCCCCTCAAACTTACCTACCCCACCCCCTGCAAACTCCAAATGCAAGGAATACTTTTTGCTTGCATAAATATCGCTAGCCTCTAAATAACAGCACAAACACAGAGGACATCACCCAAACTGACAAAGGGGGAAGCCACACATGCAACATGACAACCTCCCATAACACAATCCCACCCCGAACAAGCAACATAAAGGACCGCCAACCAAACTAACAAGGGATTGATAAACCTTACAACAAGGCGCCGAGAACAACGACCACACTTCATAACCCTCTATAACTTGAACAACTTTATTTAAAGACAACAACTTAACCAACCAAATCAGAAGCTTACACAAAAACAACATAATAAAACCAAACAAAACAAAACAACAATTAAAATAAAACAAGAACACAAAGAAACGAAAGAACATAGGAAGGAACAAGAAAGGGAAAGACCTCACCGGCAACAACCAACTCAACACCACGGACAATCGTTAGCGACAACAGAAAAAGAACCCCTCACTAAATCTAACTTTAGATACGCGAGGAAACCCTAGCCTTAACTTCACCTTTTACCGTCGGGAAATTAAATTAATCCTTTCAACGACGGCGTTAAGGGTAGCCCTTTGGTTCTTTAGTCCTTGAAACTAGTCGCAAAACACTTGACAATATGCCGAAACCCTTGATGATATACCAAAACCCACGAATTACCGAAGAGGATTGGAGCTCCCTGCCTCCCTGTATTCTTCGCCAAACAGACCAAAAAAAACTAAAAATAAAATAGCAAAAAGGGGTATTAACGGGATGACTGGGCTCGCCGGCGACGGCTAGGCGAAACGCCAGTCGCCGGCGAGCAGGGCTGAAGAAAGGAGGGGCGGTGAAAGATAAGAATGGGGTTAGAGAGAGAAGGGTCAAGAGAACTCTTGAATTAAGGGGCGGTGAAAGATTTTTAGATTAGTCTTTATATTGTACTTTGTATTTTTGGATTTATGGTTTTGTGCATTGGTAGTTTAACACAAGTGTTTGCTCCAAAAAAAAAAAATTAACACAAGTGTGGTCAAATTATTGTGATTATTAACACAATAAAAAATGTTTTATCAAGCTTTAAGGATGGTCGCCTTGTCAGTTGCCAACTTTGGCTTGCTTTAAACTTTAAAGTTACACTTCAAGAAAACCTTGTTAATGGGGCTCAAACACATACTTAAAAAAAATAAATAAATAAAAATAAAATAAATAAATAATAAAAAAAATAATAATAAAAAAATGAAAAAATGAAAAATGAAAATACAAGAATGAAGAGAAAGAATCCCAGGTAGTAGAGTTGCATTTGCCATATTCGTAATTGAATGATTGAAGCTATAGAAAACACATTGATCGATCATTTATCAAAACTTACAACTTATTATTTCCCCTTTCATTTATGAATTGTAAAATAACAAAAAAATCAATATGTACCGAGCACCTATGATTCGACAGGAGCAACGTGTTCTTGCTTGTCAAGGCTCCTCAAGAGAACCTGGGATTCACAACTTTGTGAGCTCAAAAAAGAAGCGTGATTTCCTGTGCGTATCAATGAATGATTTGCTCCAGCTCTATAGAATATAAGAGCATTGAGAACTGACACTGACAATGGTGAGAAAACCATCAATCCAGAAAACCATTAAAAAAAAAAACATGAGCTTGTCAATAGAAATTCGTGTTATAAGAGGATGTAGGTGGTAACCCATGAGTCCTTGGTAATCCAATTGAGTCGGTACCCAAGCTATATCCTCTTTCAATCGTCTCTGCTTCAAGAGGTAATTCATCCAATGTCTACAAACAAAGCAAGTAAATAACGTCATAAAGAGAATAGATTTTGATTAGTCAATTAAAGCTCATTTAGCATACAGAAATTTTTGTCTCCAATTTTATGAAAAGGGTAGCTTTTTCTAACAAGTAGTGAAAAGGGTAGCGAATAATTTAGCTTTGCACATCTAACAGAGCTTCAGCTAACCATGTCATAGCCAACATGCCCAACAAGTATAATAGAAATGTGCAACTTAATACGAGTATGTAAAACTAAAAACTATGTTCTGTGAAATTGCATTCGAATACCATTAACAGATGAGCTCTTGTGTATTATTATTACAAAAAGAGTTCCACAAAACTAACCTGAAAAGCCTGTTGAAGAACTCGGAGAGTCTCTCGAGCGTGTTTTCTCTTAGCTGACACTTCTCCAGGTTCCTGCAGCATCTCTTCGAATAGTTTTTCTCTGCAAAAACCATATAAATAAACCATAACTTAGGCAAGCTAAAACATTGTCATCATTGGCACGAGAAGGATTGCAAAAGAGGAACACATTAGTGTTCCAAAACAATGCATGAGCAGCTGAACAGTTAATTTACCTGTAAAGTTTTTGAATTAAAACATTGTGCAGTTCACGTTTTGTGTGGTTGACCTGATAAGAACATATAGAGATTGCC